GTAAGGCGTTAGATGATATATATATATATAGTATATATATATATATATAGTATATATATGAAACNTAAAGTGAGTGTAGCTTGAGATGGGATGTTGAGATTGGATGAGTAGAAAGATAAGAAAGGATTGAATTAGAAATAAATACATTCAGGAGAATTCGGATGTAGCACCAACAGGCGCTAAAATGAGAGAAAGTAGACTGAGGTGGGTGCAAATCCAGTACAACACATGGTAGGAGGTGTGAGTTAGTTCAAGTGGAAGGCTCAAAAAGGGCAAGGGATAGGCCCTAAAGGCATGGTTGGAATTAGTGAGAAAAGTTATGGGGACTTATGGCCTCATTGAAGATATAACCCTTTGATAGAGCAGAATGGTAGACCAGGATTCATTTAGCCGACCCCAATTAGTGGGGAAAAGGCTGCGATGATGATGATGATGATATGAAGCAAGGGTTACACATGTTTTGGTTTGAGGAAATACAGGGGTTACACAAGTTAAACCCAAATTTAAGCCTCTTTTCATTTTCAAACCAAATTTTGCACTATTCTCTTTCTGTCTCTCTCCTCTTTTTAACAGGTACAATTTGGACAATTCCTTGATTTTTGTGTGTCATCCTTGGATAGGGGCAATGCTCATAACTATTGGATATAACATTTTCCTACTCATATTTCAAACCCAGAACTAAAACTCCTCCCACTACCTATTCCTTATATCTGCAAGTCTCTCTTATTATCTGTAACTTAATTATCTGTCTTTCTCTTACAATGAGCATTGCCCCTATCCAAGGAATTGAATCATCATGGCACTAATAGTACTGTGATGGCATTTTAGGAAATTTAACCATCATGGTCTAATAAGGGTAAGGACATTAAACTTTCCCTTTAACTTGTCCCAACTCCGGTAAAGGAGGTGAGTTGCGTTAGGTAGGCAGGCAACCAGCGTAAAATTTTACGACATTTTATCATAAATCTTGAACCTGTTATAGTCATTCTTACAAAACCATGACTCAAGCTGTCCATTTATAGCCTATTAGACATATTAGACTTGGTACATAGAGCCTCATGGGGACCCTTATGATTTTTTTTTAAATACTTTAATATTTTTGTAGTGCAAAGCCTCTCCTGAGTGTTGAATTTATACGATATTTATGCGTTATATTCGCCCTTCTTCTCTCAACCACCCTCTCACAAACCAAGTAACATTGTCTAATTCCTTGCAGAGTTTTCTTGCATTATCATTCCCTGAAAATTCCTAAGAAACTGATAGTCATCCAAGAAGTTTGATTTCTTGGTTTTCTAAAAATAACGTTAGAATGGTATGCTTTGGTAGCCAATCCCAAATAGTTGGGATGAGGCTAGGGTGCAATGTACGATGATGATTTTAATATTTTAATCCCAAATACATTTAGGACTTTTCTAACTTTTTAAACTTATGTTTTGATAAAATATTGTATGGAAGAGTCATAGCCCTACCTAGATTTAGGTTTGCCATGTATTTTTTGCCCAACACTGCAGTTTGGGTGAGTGATTGTGTCAGAAGACATGGAGGATACAGCTTCAACTTGAATTCCATAAGTTTTGTGCATGCTTGCCAACAAAAGAGATTAATACTCCAGACATGGAGAGCCCTACTTATCACGTGTGTGTGTGTGTATATATATATATATTATTTTTTTTTGCCTTTTTTTGTTGTTGTCTATAAGAACACATATAAAATTGTTTTCTAACATAAACAGGGGGCAAGTTTTTGCACCCATGGTCTTAGTTATTGTTTTTGCACACATATAAAACTGTTTTATAATATAAATTATAGACGTATCAAGTGCATCTGCCTCTTACTTAAAGCGGTGAAAGATGCATAAGTAGTTGCAGCTACTAGTAAAGGGGGTCTGAAATCTAGCTCTCTATAAATATTGTAAATAATGTAAATATTGTATGTTACAAAATAAATACAAGGGTACGGTTTAAGTGTGCCAGGGGATGCACCATTTAGAGTGAGTCCACCCTCCCAAAATCCAACGGGGAGATGGACATTGGATCCATAACTTTGAAGACCGATCATCTAGATCACCATGGTTATGAATCTGAAGGGGGACAAAAAACTGGGGGGAATTTTGAACCTTACAAATCGTCTGATTTGAACCCTTTTTGTGGACTTCGAATTTTAAATGTGCAAGATCTTCGTTTCTGCCGCACATTTTAAGCTCCAAATTCATGGGTCTGAGGAGGAAATAGATTTACAGTAATTTGGAAAGTGTTTCACATCCCGAATCCCTTGACAACCATGGCGGATGATGCATAAGTTGGCTGACTAACTAAATACTTTTCCTAAACAGTAAATCATATATACATAGAATACTTATTAAATTTTATATAGTATATTGTACATATATTGATTAAGAATTTATGACATATTACTTTGGGCATATTATAACTGACTTTGTATGATACTTCCACATACATTACATATTTATATGATACTTATACATATATTACATACTTGTCAAGTATAAAATAGGTTGTGATACAACATACATTAGCAGCATAAAGAACAAGTTACATCACACAATCACTATATATTGTACAGTCCTGAAAGGGAATGGGGGTTGGGCTTGAATTGTTAGTGATTGACATTTGCAACACTACATCCCAAGTTCGACTCCAACCGCTGAACTACCAAAGACAAAAAATATAGTAAGTGAATATACGATTAGATTCCTTGCAACAACTCTAGACTTGTCCTTCTTACTTTATACAACCAATAACAAGATTTTGTTCACTCGATATTTATTTCATAGTCAGTTCAGTTACTGTGAACTACCACAGTAATTTACAGGATCATGGAAGTAGCAGAAAAGAAAGTTTAACTTATCTCGAAGTATAGTTGAAAAGATAACTGGATGGAGCACATGCTCATACCAAACATGATAACATAAACCATTGGATACAACTACTCCCTCAAAAAACTCATCAAGCCTTCTCAATGAAGTCTTTTTCACTATCGTTTCTATCAACATAACATCACAAAAAATACATGGTTGACATGGCTGAATTTTAGCAAAGATAAAAGATGAGTTCATTAGAAAAGAGAAATTATTTCAATACCTTAAAAATGTGAACTTATATAACTGCATGATAATGAAGCATTGGACATAACTACGTATGCAATAAAATTTTAATAAATAAAATAGGAAGAAAGTGACCTTCCACAGCATTTCAAAGAACCATTTGCCATAATAGCTATGCGATCACCGAGCACATCAGCCTCATCCATTGAGTGTGTCGTTAGTAAGATTATTCTTCCCTTCTTCATCCTTTTGATTAATTGCCATGTAGAACGCATTGAGTATGGGTCCATTCCACTAGTCGGTTCGTCAAGTATAATAACCTGTTATTGAAGATATCACATACCATGCTTTTTACGAAATAAGGATGTGTAAGCCCTATCAATAAAATCAAGTCAGTACCTTGCTGTTTCCAAGAAGTGCAAGTCCCAATGATAATTTTCGCTTCATTCCACCCGATAATGCACTCACAATGGTATGAGCCTTGTCAACCAAGCCAATCTGACTCATAGGATTAGTAGCAGTAGTTAAAAGGTGGTCTCTTGACACAAAATATGCACTGGAAAATAAAATCAGCAATTAAGAATGCAATCAATGAGCAAGAACACAAAATGTTGCCTCCAGATAATTACTACGATGTTAACATTACTAAAGAACAAACAAGATATGATTGCAATACACAAGCATGGTCAAAATGCCACATCAAGATCCTACTGTGCTATACAAAACAAACAAATTGATGGATGCGAGGTTAGTGCTTAGGAAGCAAGAAGTAAGACCAAGAAAAAAAAGATAATTCGCCAAATTTCCAAAAAAAAAAAAAAAAATTTCCAAAACATATGAGAATTCCTTCAAAAACTGCATCTACCATACAATATGCTTAGTAATGCAGCAGATGAAGTAGAACCAAACTAAGCAGCACATGAAGTAGAACCAAATCGAGTCGATACAACAAAAATCCTGCAAGTTCAAATTATTCTCTAAAGCACATTAAGTTAGATGAGAAGGACAAAGGACATCATGGCCTCTACTCTTCCTTTAGCATATCATAGATATTACCATGTAAGCTAGAAAAAGGTGTAAGTTACAAAACGGTGTATGGAATTGAGGACTGACGGATCCTTTTCTGTTTTGAGTAATGCAAAGTCAAGAACAGAACAATTCAAAAAAAATGAAACACAATTTCCAAGGAAGCATAATGTTATAACCCCAAGATGTATATCAAATAATGAATAGAAAGCAGATTTTGACCGATGCCCTCCCTCAACAAACAGTAGATGTTCAAAGTAGATAACAGACTGCTAAACCAAGCAAATTTAATGCCCTCCCTCCCCCAACATGCTTTGCTTAGCCCCCCCCCTCCCCCATTTTTTGGACTTTTTGTAAGCTTCAGGTAAAACTTTACTTAGGGCGGTCTTATAAGCCTTTTTGTACATGATACATTCCAGTTCACCCCCTAGGCGGTGAACTTGGCCCTCTCTCTTGTACACTCCTCTCTCAGTAATACAATGTTAACTTTCATCAAAAAAAAAACCTACTTGAGATGTACAAAGAATACAAAGAAAATCTCTCATACAGTTTTACACCTCAGTTTATATAAACAACATTCACTAGACAAAAAATTACAAATAACTGAGATGAAACTAATCCATTTGATTGTTTTGAAGTGTCATACAACTCAGCCAAGTCCACCAAGTTATTCAGCTGTAGCAAGTTTTGACGCACACATCCCCAGATAATGGAAGGTGTATAACACTCGGATGAGTACTAAGAAGAAGTGGCTATGTGAAATTCAGGGAAGTAAAAAAACATTCTCTTTTCTTTTATTAATGTATCTCAATTCCACTTACAAATGCCACATAAGAATGTTGTAAACAAGAAATAAAAACCCTAAATTCAACCTAGTGTTGGAGTACTAAGCCAAGTCCAAGTGACATTTTAAAAAAAAAATTGTCTTTGTAAAACAAGCGTTAAATACATAAATTTTTCTTACAAATTGAAAAAAGTACACGAATTCCAGCCGCCAAACCTGGGCTTTACACTCATTTGAGAGCAAATCTAATTGGTCTCTTGGTAAAGTCCAAACTTAAAATAAAACAAGGTGATTGGATAAATACAAGCCCATACTCAACTACTCAAGTACTCATGTTTACAATACTGTACAAGATACATTCTCAAATTTCTCATGACATTTGAATTACATCAAACAGTTCAAGACCAATCTCGTTCTCCATCAAAACACAAACTTACACATGCCTAATTGACTTGATCATGGTAAGCCAAAATTCGAATTCAATTTGCATGGTCTACGGCCAAGGATTTATCGTGGCATCAAGTCAGAGGCGAAATAGATATTAAGACAAACATGTTCTAAATATGATATGCTCAATTCCCCATAACACAAAACATTAATTCTAAATTACAGCAAATAAAAATGCAAGCAACCAATGGGAAGCCAATGATCGAAGCCTTTGTGCTTGGGTCACATAAGCGGACCTTTTAGAGACTTAGTTTTGTCTCATAGATAATAGCATGGATGGCTCTAATCATAAGGGCTTTCTCACTCACACAAATGGGAAGCTAATGGTCACGATCTACCACTTAATTATGATCAAAATGAGAAGGAGAGAAAGATGAACTTTTAGTTCATAAAACAGTTTGGTGAAGCTAAATGTATGTTGAACTTGCGTGGGTGTATTAGGTTGTGTTTTACGGCTAAATGTATGTTGAAGATCAGAGCAAATCAATCACTGAATAATCAATAAATTTATTCAGCCATAAAATATACATTGTAGGAACAAAAGTATTAATGTAAACTAACACGACACCTGAAGGGACCACCTCATCATATGCCCATTGGATGGATGAGAACAAAGACATAGCAGTATGGAACAAATATATTTTTGATTCATTATCTTAATAAAGATGACATCGAATTAATGTAAAAGTGGTAGTGAAAAGTTTCACAATGTTTGTGTTGGGTTTTTGTGGCCATTTAAAGGCCTTATGAGAGCAGGTAACCATTTTCTGTTATAGTGGAAGAAAGAACTCCAGTGGGAGTATGGTCCAGAGGGATCGAGGTTGGCAATATTGTTGCTGAGACTCAAACTAGACTTCACGAGCTAGGCCAGTTGAGTACCAAAACCCAAAATACCTGGTCGTAGAGCACAACTGATAAGGGTTAGTAGGGTTACCCCTTGATGAGATTGGAGTTGCCCAGGGCAGATAGCCAAGTGACTGTGTGACGGGACAAGGACCAAAGTCTCATCTTATACCATCTCACGGCATGTACACATGACAGCCGTATCAAGAAGCAAAACACCATTGAGGGTGATGTGTGTAAACGTATAAGATATGCACCAAATGCAATATGTGTGCACAGGTCTGTGTAACCTAGAACTTCTTCCAAGGGGGAACCTGTAATACATAGACTAGGATTGTGTCCCATCAACTATTGGCTGACTTTAGTAGCCCAATCATGAACCCCTGTGACGGAGTGTGAACCATGGGACCTACTAAGTCAGCTAGAGAAAGTGAGCGTGGTTCATGGTCTCTAGTAGAAGATGGAGTGCTTCAATAATTTTACAATTTCCTTGACATAGTTCGATCCAAATCTCATCATATTAATTTGGAAATGATTAATTTGACTACAAATGACTCTTAGAATAATAAAATAAATTTTTAGAAGTCTTTGGATATTTTACTTTCACGAAACAACTTTATAATAGGCTAAAACTGAATTTTCAGTATTTAATAAATCAGAGAGAAAAATAAAAGAGCAAATATTTTCTAAAAATCATTTTCTTAATTTTATAATTGCTAATACACATGGGGGGCGGGGGGGGGGGGATTATATTCCATGGGCCCCACCAAAATATGGCATGTGGGGAGGTGCGTGGGGCCCACATAGGCCATGGGCAGCATGCCCCATTCCATGGAACTCCCTTTTAATTTTGTGTGGCATGCAAAATGCCATTCAATGAAGATGAATAAAAAGGGAAGGTTGTCATTGGAAGATATTTTGACTTTTCAAAAGTTGTGTAAGAGAACTGAGAAAATAAAATGAAAGAGAAATATGTTTTCCTTGTATTAAATATTTGATGGGATTAGGTTAAGGAAGTTGAAGGATAAGGTTCTAGCACATTCCATTAGATCATGATGGCTGATCTATGGATTGTAAGGCTATGATCTTTCGCCTCACAGGTCTCCTATGATCAATAGTCAAGATTAAATCTCCATAAGGATGACTAACCCTAGAAACCCTAGCCCTAACCTTGAGTCTATATAAGGTCTCATTGGCGTCCCATTCTCAACACACAAAAAGTTACATCTCTCTCTCTCTCTCTCTCTCTCCTCTCACCAAGGTGGCACGCCACTCTCTCTCTTTCTGATCTCTCTCATCTTTCTAGGTTCCCCATACTTAGAAATTTTTCTTGAGAACAAAAGAGGGGCACGCCTTAGCCTTTGTGAGCTTAGAAGGGGCACACCCCACACGCATAGCCTAAGGCCTAGATTATGTTCCACATTGCTCTTTGAAGGGTTTCTAGCCAAGGCTTCCCATAGTTGTGAGATCTCTAGAGGACCTCGATTCTGTGCATCATCGGAGGAAGAGACCCGGAGTGGGGTGTATCAAGTCCAGTTGAAGTAATTTTCTGGCACTTTATTTTTTGTTATGCAGTTTGTACTTCTTGTTCCCAAGAGAGCCTTATGTAATGTTGTTATTGAAATAAAAGAGTTGTATTAAGTGACAACAAGAAATAATTTATTTTGTAATTCATCTTTGTTTATTTTGAGCTTATTTTGTATTATTTGGACCTCTGTAAGTGCTTTAGTTGGTAGAGAAAAGAAAATTTTAAACTGCATACATTGTGCTAGTTTACCCTGTCCAACATTCAGTTTGAAAGGAAAAGTATCACATGTCAAATTATTTTGAGTGCTTTTCGAGCAAACGGCGACTTACAGTGAGAAACAAAATATTTATTTCATGAAAAAAAGACTATTGGACACTCAATTTAGATGACAAAATGATGAGCAGCACCAAACAATGCACAAGACAAACATATCAATATTATAATCTAATAATGAAAAACACACCACTGGGAACACCATGCTTCTGTGGAGAACATCACTTACATGCTGTATGAAGGAGCAAGAAACAACTACAAAAAGAAAGTTTTGTATAATAAATACAACAAATCCACAGCCACCCAAACACACACACACAACCCCACAAACCCCAGAATTTGTAATCCCACCAAAAACATAAAGGATAACAAATACAAAAAGGACATGATTCATGCAAATAAACATTAGAGCGTGAACGACCATGTCAAAATGAAATCTAACTAAACATATTATTTCCAAAGACGTTATCAATTACAACACAAAAAACTCACCTCATTCAATATCCCACTTATTTCACTTTCCGAAGTGTCCCCAGAAACACCCTTTAAGATCGCATATATTTCCAAATGTTCCTTCACCTGAGACAAAACCACACATGTTACAAATGGCTTGAATTACATACAAAGCAATGCAAGGCACAGCAATGCAACATATTAGATTTTGGGATTTGGCCACAGTGCATGGGGTACACATCAGGGAAGATAATTTTTCATGCACATGCATCTAGACTTACATTGAAATAAGAAACAAATATCATCTCATGGTGTGAAGCGAAATAAAGTCTAAAAATAAATTTGACAAGAGAAACTTGGGTTTTGACTGAGAAACTGCAACACTCACACTAAAGTTGCTAAAATTGGGGCATTACAGGGAGTATGGAACCTAAACAATTTTTCTGCAAAAACATTCCAATACAACACACACAACTATAATTAGAGCTTGTAACATTGATCTAAAACCAAACTAATTAATTATGGAAAAGTAATTGTTGAGTCGGTCTGCGTACTCACACTATGCTTGTGAGATCTCCCTACGAAATACATCTCAAAGATGTACTTTCGATCCAAAATTTTAGGGTTTGATAATCTCAACCATGACAATGATCTAACTTAAGAATCTCTTTTTTGAAAAATATAACGTCTTTTTTTTAATTCCTTTTTCCATCATCCATTTTAACTTTTAGTGGACGTAACATTTGTTCACATCCATTTTGTTGGAGTGGTGTGGCCATTTACAAGCCTTACGAGAGCATGTACTGAAATTATTTATAGTGATATGATAGCTCTAGTGGGATTGTGGTCCAGGTTGGACTATGAGGCATCGCCAATCCCACGAGTCACCTAAGCTTTAAGGGGCTACAGCTTAGGTCGATGTCTAAAACTCGTAGACCTGGGCATTTGTGCACAACCGATAAGGGTTTCGATACCTTGATGAGGTTGAAGCTGTGCTCAGGGTGGTTGGCCACGAGGCTAAGTGTGACCCCTGTGTGTAATGGTTGGCCAAAGAGGTCAACGGCCAAATCCTCATCATTACCATCACACGACATGTACAGTAGATAGCCGTCCAGGAGCAGCACTTTGGGTGAGGGCTGTGCGTGTACATGTGGCGAAGAGATCTCCCTGCAACACTGAATTGTGTTGGAAGGACCCATGAGGTATAGTGCTAGAATGGGGCTGGACTTATCCTCAGGGAGGAACCTGTAATCCATGGGCCAGGTGTCTCCAAGCCTGAACGCTTGCGAAGGGTTGTGGGTCATGGGAAATGTTGGGTCAGTTTGAGAACATGTGGTTTCTGGAAGGGATGGAGTCCTCCATATATTTATAATATTTCTAACTCCTTGGATCCAATTCCCATCAAATCTTCTTAAACATGTTTAATTATGTTTAAGATAGTTAAAATCAATTTTTAGACATCTTTGGATATTTTATTTTATTGAAAAAGGATTTCTAAATATGGAAAAATTAATTTTCTGGATTTATTTAATTCAGAGAAATAAAAAATATGTCTTGGTTCTATAAAATTCATTTTATTAATCCACAATATACTTTGGGGTGTGAGGGCCCATTGGGACTTTGGGCCCACCACATATGAGCCCACAAATGGGGATGTGGGGCTCACATGGCTCTTCATGTGTGGAACGCCCCACATCTTCTTGTCTCCTCTTGTTGGGTTTTTATGATCATTTAAGGGCCCTACAAGAGCATGTAATGAATTTAATAATAGTGGAGTAATGAACTCCAGTGGGAGTATGGTCTAGAGGCGCTTAAGTTGGTAATATTGATGCCAGGACTCAAACTAAGCCTGACGAGCTAAGTTGAGTTAAGTTCTAAAACCTTATGATACTTAGGCATATATCACAATCGACAAGGATTTGCAGGGTTAACCCGTGATGAGGTTGGAGAGATGCTCAGGGTAGTTGGCCAAGGGACATTATGATCCTTGTATGTGATTGACAAGCCTGAAGGCACAAGGGTCAAATCCTCATCATGACCATGACACGACATATACATATAATAACCGTATTCGGACGAGGGTGTTACATATACATATACTAAAGATAGCCCTCATGCACCAATTGCGATGAATGTGAAGAGATCTACGTGACCTAAACTTGTCCCTAGGGGGAACCTGTAGTCTATAAATGGGGATTGTATTCTCAGTACCTATTGGTTGGCTTTGGTATTCCAATCGTAAACCTCTGTGATGGACTGTGGGTCTTAGGAACTACTAGGTCAGTTTGAGAAAGGGAGTGTAAAACATAGTCACCAGTTGAGATGGAATGCCTCAGTATTTTTGTATTTTTCTGAACAAAGTTGAATCTGATTCCCAACAAATTAATTCAGAAATAATAAAATTTATTTTAAATGATTCTTATAATATTAAAATAAATTTTTAGAAGTCTTTGGATGTTTTATTTCATCAAAATTGATTTATGAATAAGCTAAAATTGAATTTTTTGGTATTTAAATATTCAAAGAGAAAATAAAGATATTAATGATTTTCTAATAATCATTCTATAAGTTTTAGAAATACTTAATTACTATTGGACCCCCATAATACATAAGGGCCCACCATTCATGGCCCACCTTGATATGGGTGTGAGGCCCACTATGCAAAGTGGAACGCCCCACTTTTCTCACCTTTTAAAATTGTGGCCAGTGTAAATAAGTCAAAGAAAATTTGATTTGAAAAGAAATAGGAAGGTTTTGTAAAAAAGGATAATTGATTTCAGAAAGGGAATGAGTAGACAAAATAAATTGAAATAAAAGAAATGGCATGACACACTTTCTCTACACAAAATATTTGATGGGATTTGGTTAAAGAAGCTGAAGAACAACGTTCTAGCACCTTTCATTAGATTATGATAATAGATCTATGGATTCTATAACAAAGATCTCTCACCCCACAAGTCACCTTTGAGCAATGGTCTAGACGGAATTCCATAAGGATGCCAAACCTTAAAAAACCCTACCCTAGCCTCACTCATACGAAAACATCTAAATGGGGGGTTTCAAAACTCAAAACCTAGAGATGAGCTCTCTCTCTCTGTCAAGGTGGCACGCCACCCTCTCTCTCTACTCTTCTCTTTAATACAAAGTGAGGGATTGGCATTACTTCCCAATTGCTGAGATTCAATAAAGACCTAGATCTCGTGCGCCATCGGTGGAGGAGACTTGGTGTGGGTTGGGGGAAGTCCATTAGAGATAATCTTTCGGCACTTTTACATGTTTTCTTGTGTTTTCTTGCTCCCAAATCTCATTTAATGTAATTTGATTATGTAATGAAGAGATTTGAAAGAGGCAGTAAGTGAGAATCCATTTATTGTATTGGTTTTATTTTATTTGAGTTTTAATTGTAATATTTGGACATATGTAAGTGTTCTTGCCGGTGTTACAAAAGAAAAATTTCAACTATATAGACCGCGCGAGTTCACGTTGTCCAATCTCACTAGTATCAGAGTAGGGGTTTATCGTGGCCATTATTTTTATTTTATTTGTTATTTTGTACGTTTGTGACAAGAAAATATGGTAGGAATAAGTTTCATTTCTGAAATTTTAAAGACGGAGAGATTCGATGGAACACTCTATTCCTCATGGAAGCGCAAAATCAGCTAGTGCTCTATGAGAAAGGTTTACATAATATCCTCTCATTGAAGCTACACAATCTCAGCCATGAGGGAATGCATCTCAAGGTATAAGGTATGCATATGCCGAGTAGAAGCGCAAAAATATGCTTGCAAGGAATATACTAAAAGAAGTATCGATGTGGAACTCAAGGTACTAAATTTAAAAATTTTCTTTTTTCTCTATTCAATATGCCTGAATTCCACTTACATGTGCCACTACATATTGTTGTAAATCAAAATTAATACTCTAGATACAACTTAGAATTTTCACTTTCACTACCAAAACAATTATAAACTATCCATGAGCTTTAAAAGAACTTCCATTATAATATTTAGTACAATATATGTTCTTGAAAATTCACAGAAAAATAAAGAATATTGTTAAAAAAAATTCAATCAACTAGGAAAACTTACTGAAAGATGCATGGAGTTACCCTCACAGGTCTAGGTTCACCTCACACCTGATTCCCTGACCGATGGCACAATTTTAGTCCTTTAAGTGTTACTGAAAATTCTGAGATAGGAAAGCTCTGCAGGTAATACCTCTTTCTCTAATGTAACAACTCAAAAATCAACTAGGGTTTGTAGAAACCTTATGGAAACAAAGTAGGGCAAAACTTGTGAGTTGATCTCTCTCTTGCGTTTCATATGGTGCCACCTCCTTTCTTTCATTTTCTTATTTGGAGACTACACAAGAAAGAGAAGGAGAAAGGGTGGTGTCACATCTATAGGGACAGAGAGAGGCTTGTGCAAGAGAAAATATGGGAGAGAGAGAGGTTGGTGTGAGAGAGACGGGCCTCTCCCCCTTTTTTTAAGGGCATCAAAAAATAGAGAGAGAGAGAATTGTGGCATGAGAGAGAGAGAGAGAGATCTTAAGGCGTGAGAAAGAAATACTATTGTAATGAAAGAGGGGCTTTAAACAAGAGGGAAAAAATTGTGGCGTTCGAGGGAGAGAGAGAGAGAGATCTTAGGTCAAGAGAGAGAAATCTTATTGTAATGAGGGGCCTCAAACCTTGTTTAAATAAAAACAAGATTTATGTCTTACTTTAAATAAGATTCTAATTAAGGTAAACCTTATTTAATTTCCAGCTTAACCTTTAGGATAATTAAGAAATCTGTGCTAAGAGAGAGATTTAATCAGAGCTGTCAATTCTACCAATCAGCCATCATGATTTTGGGTGGAAAATAGGAATTTTATCCCCTTTAAAATTTGACCCATATCCAACTCCTATTTAACTTTAAAATCCAACCAATCTTATCATTACCTAGATCTACCATAATCTATAAGAAATCAAGGATAATCTATATTCTAAATTTATTTAAAATCTTATTTAAAATTAAAACTAAATTTAAAATTCATAGCAAATTTAAAAAAGTGGAGTGTGCCCCTATTTGCTAAATATGTGGCATGCCACAGTTTTTTAAAAAAATGGGTGTATGCCCCTAAGGGGG